GCATGGTTGAAAGACAACCCTGGGAGCAAGAAAGCTAATTTGTTTGAGATTTCATCTACTGAAGGGAAAAAAAAAGTTGAATTTTAACAAGGTTGAATTTTTGTTTTAAGAAGACAATATATAAAGTCAACTTAAGAAAGTTTTAAAGTTAAAATTAAATAGAGAAAGCTATCCACTAAAATGTGAAACCTCAGGATGAATAAATGTAATCATGTCTGGGGCTCTGGGACTGCAGTACATTAGTTGCTCACAAGGGATTGTTCTCTAATACACATCTGTTTCCATCTAGAAAAATAAACAAAAAAGCCCTCTCTTACCCTTGGCTCCACTTCTTTGAATTATGTCAAGTAAAATTAAACATTGGAAACCAAAAACTGTCCAAAGAAAGCATGGATTTATATGAGCATATTTACTATGGTAAGTATTATGTAAGAAGACTGTTTGCTGCGTGTTCGAGAGCTTTTTAGTGTAGATTACGCTCTTCTATATATCCCTAAATTATTTAGTAGATGCTGTTATTGCCTCAGTCTTGCCTTGAGCCAGACTGTCTACTCTAGTTTTCCTACGTCAATTTTCCATTGACTAGACCCTCACAGTTGACAATCTCTGAGGACATGGGGAAATTAAATGTCCCCATTACAATTCTTCCTTATTGCATTACTGTGGACTCCCTGTGAACTTCTGGGATGCAGCCCGTGACTCTCTTGGGTATACTTTATTCCTAGGGGTAAATGGCCATGGACCTGATAACAATTTTCTGGGATTATGTTGATCATATTTGGTAAAATGTTTTGAAGTGTTTTCCACTATATTATAACAAACACACACTTCAAAAATTCCGTTCTGGGAATTTGACAGGTCTTCTTTTAGCTCAGCCTGTTTTGCATTTTCCCCTGTGAGAATTGTTTTACTTCCAAGGTAGATTAAAGAGTTTATGGAGTCATGGCTATCTCACAGTGTGACGAGTACATACATTTAAATGTATTCTTGGATTAATTAATTATATTAGTGATAGAAAAGAATATAGTTAACTTAAATTGTGTTTTCAAGTGATTCTTGGATTGTCCATTCTGAATAAGTCATTAAATCTGTTTAGGCGGTAATTAGCTTAAATTATTTTCTAGTCCATTTTGGAATTTTGTGAACTTCTGGAATTTGCCAGCTTTGGCAGAAGAAACTCCAGTGCTCACTTCTCAGATACAAAGTTGAAGGGACCATTTCTTTCTAGTCACCAAGAAAACTCAAGATGGAAACAAAGACCCAAAAAGCCAGTTATGATAATGTTGGGAGAACATATTAAGCCATATGTACAGATGGGCGCGATTCTGTCATGTTGGTTTTGTAAGCTGCAGGATAGTAAAGGGGCCTCTCCCATGAGCAGGCTCAGAAACTCTTCCATTTGCTTCTGAAGATGACTCGAGCAAGTACTAGTAAATTTTTTAGATTTAGCTTCTTATTGTGAAGTAATTTTAGATTCACAGAGTTGCAAAGATAATGCAGGGTTCGCATATACTCCCCATCAGTTCCCCTTAATGATAATATCTTACAGCACCATTGGACATGTCACAGCGAAGATGCCAGCGTCAGTACATCACTATTTATTAAACTTCATACTTTGTGTGAATTCACTAGTTTTCCCAGTAATATCTTTTTTCTGTTCCAGGTTCTAATCTGGAACACCACATTACTTTTTTTTTTTAATTTTATTTTTGTTTAAAATATTACAGATGTCCCTTTTTCTCCCCAATGACCCGTTCCACCCGTTCCTTCCCCCTCCCCAGTCCCTCTCCCCACCATTGTCTGTGTCCTTGGGTTGTGCATATATGCACATAAATTCTTCGGTTACTCTCTCCCCCTCCCCCTCCCGCCCCCTTCCATCCCTCTGACATTCGTCAGACTCATCCATGCTTCCATGTCATTGAATCTATTCTGTTCATCAGTTTATTAAGTTCTTCAGATTCCACATATAAGCGAGATCATGTGATGTTTGTCTTTCGCTGCCTGGCTTATTTCACTTAGCATAATATTCTCCAGGTCCATCCATACTGTCCCAAAGGGTACGAGATTCTTCTTTACAGCTGCGTAGTACTCCATGGTGTGAATGTCCCACAGCTTTTTTATCCACTCACCTAGTGATGGGCACTTGGGCTGTTTCCAGATCTTAGCTATTGTAAACTGCGCTGCTATGAACATCGGGGTACATATATTCTTTCTGATGAATGTTTCAGGATTCTTAGGATACATTCCTAGCAGTGGGATCACTGGGTCAAACGGCAGCTCCATTTTTAATTTTTTGAGGACCCTCCATACTGTTTTCCATAGTGGCTGCCCCAGTCTGCATTCCCACCAGCAGGGCACTAGGGCTCCCCTTTCTCCACACCCTCGCCAGCACATGTCATTTGTTGATTTGTTGATGGAACCATTCTGGCAGGTGTGAAGTGATACCTCATTGTGCTTTTAATTTGCATCTCTCTGACGATTAGCGATGTTGAGCATTTTCTCATGTGTCTCTTGGCCATCTGAATGTCCTCTTTGGAGAAGTGTCTATTCAGGTCCTTTTCCCATTTCTTAATTGGGTTGTTTGTCTTCCTCTTACTGAGTAGTGTGAGTTCTTTGTACACTTTGGAAATTAGCCCCTTAGCAGATACATCCTTGGCAAATGTGTTTAGGGTTACCACATTACATTCAATCATCGTGTCTCCATAAGCCTCTGCCCTGTGCTAACTTCTCAAATTTTCCTTGTTTTTCAACAGCTGGGCAGTTTTGTGGTGCATCAGTCAGGTATTTTGTAGAATATCTCTTAATCTGAGTTCATTTGATGTTTTTTCATGATTAGATTGAGGTTATAGGTTTTTGGAAAGAATATAATGCATGAAGCATCCTTCTCATCACAGTTTATCAGGAGTACATGCAATCATCATGACTAATCCCGGCGATGCTAACTATATCAGTTGTTTGCCAGGTTTCTCCATTGGAAAGTTACTATTTTTCCATTTCCAAACCCTACCATTTGGAAGCAAGTCACCAAGTTTAGTTCACACTCAAGAGGGAGGGAGAGTGTGGGAAATTAATCTTTACCTCCCAGAAGGGAGAGTATTTACATATATTTGGAAGTCATATGTAAGAAAAATTCATCTCTTTTCCATTTATTTATTCACTCACTCATTTATATTAGTATAGACTCTTGTATTTTAACTTTGGATTATAATTGAGTGCTCTGTTAATTTGTTGCAAAATTGTTCCTGCTTTTGGGAACTCTTTCAGGCTGGTTTCTATGTACCTTTGACATGCCCCATCCTTTTGGGTTTTGAGCTTTTTGGCACACGATGCTCTGAGCTCATCTTATATTTGTCCTACCCCAGCCCTAAAATCAGTATTCTCTGAGAAGTCCTGGTTATTTACCAGAGAATGATGTTTGGATGAATTTTTGTAATGCATTACAGTCTAGGTAGGCTTGGGCAGGTAGAGCTCCGATAATTTTCACAACAGTGATCCATGGCATGATCCAAAGTCTGGGAATTTTACCAGAAATTACCCAACTGAGGAATTTTTATGAAAATTACACCAAAGGCAAACAAGTGAGATATAAGACTGAAGAACAATGCTCATATAGTCTTGGAAATTTTCTTGAGAGTGAGCCGGATTTATCAAACTGACAGCATAGCCAGTCTCTGTGATTCATGCCTGAGAGGCACTGCAGTGGGGTTCGGTGGACTCTGAGACCAGCAGGCACAAACTTTGACATTCTAGTTTTATATACACACACACACACACACACACACACCTAGTTTTATATTTATATGTAGTATTATATTTATATATATACATGTGGCATGTATAGTCAAAGGCACTATAAAAAATATAAAGACATATATAAGACAGTGTCCCTGCCTTTCAGGGAGGTAAGTAACTCAAGGAAACATTATGTAGTAGGAAAGAGAAGTTTTAATGAAGAGCCTTGGGTGCTGTGAGGTAGTACATTCAGTGGCTATGAGAACAGGGTCCCCGAGGAGGCTGTAGAGGGCTGTGTGTTTAGAGGCACCAAGGGCTCGTGCTTCTAAGC